GAGGCTGCAGGGAAGACTCCCAAGACAAGGGGTTTCTTTAGATTTACGAAAATGACAACAGAATCCCAGCATCTCTAAGAAATGGGGTGATGCAGGGCGGTAGTGCTGGAGAAGGGGAGGGAAGGGTGGGGGATGGAGCAAGCCCGAGATAAACAGTCTCTGGAGATAAACACTGCTGAGAGCCCTAATGTGTATGGCTCCAGACTGCTGGCTGGGGGAAGGAATGTCAGCTGCCAGCCACTTATCTGACCAGCCCCCATAGGGACTCCTTCAGTGGGGTTCCAGCAGGTCACTTCTGTCAATGCCATCCCTGTGTGTGGGACCAAACCAAGTGCTTCAGCTCCTAAGGTGCAGGTTAGCTCTATCAGTGGCCAAAGACGGCCTTCCGAAGTTCTAGCTGTAAAGCATTTTTAATGCTTCCTGCTAGCAGTACTTAGGTTTTAGAAAATTAATAAAATAAAGCCGGGATAATTAGGTAGGTGGGAGGAAAAGGCCACCTCTCAAGCCCCGAGGAGATCGGGCACAGGTAAAATCCCATCACAATGGCTCACTTTGTAGACAGAAGGGCTTTGTAAAAGGCAGGCATTTCCCTAGCACACAGAAGCAGTTGGCTGCTGCCCCCTGACTGCCTTGGTCTGACAGCCACAAACAAAGCCCCTGGCAGTGTGACTGGGAGAGAGCTGAGTGGCATCTAGTCATCCATGCAGCTATAAAATAGCAAGGATCAAGAACAACTGACGTTTGTTTAGCTTTCACGATTCCTGCCTGCTAATGTGCTTAATCCTCTTCACCACCCCTAAATCCTACCTCACTTGTCCTGTGATGGACAACGGCTGGGCAGATCCAAAGCCCACCAGGGACCTTCCTGACTGGGGTACCCTCAACACAAATTCTTTTCCACCATCTGGTCCAAAAAAATCAAAGTAGTTGTGGGAAAAGACTCAGCATCTCATGGCACATGCTCCTTCCATGTTTCTTGTCCTTACAGGCAAGGGGGGAGGCCAGGGAAGCACTTCAATGCCCAGTAGCCTATGAAGGGCATCACCTAGTCCTGTGGCCAGCACAGACACCACAGAAAAATCCATGCCAACAAGGGAGGAAGTAGGCTTCTGGACATGGTCCTTGCCCTTTCTCTGTGGGTTACTGTGACATACAGGCTCCCCACACCTGTTGTCTTCTTTATGCCTCCCTCCAGGTAGGGTCACAGGCCCTACACTTCATATACTGCTCAGTAGCTTCCTCTCCAATCTTGACCTCTATCTACGGAGCCCAACTAATCTTTTCCAGAGACATAGTCAGGGACACTAAAATGTTGCTGCTGGTTACTGTGGGCACTGGTTCTCTGGGGGGTAGGGGTGGGTGACAAAGGAATGGAAAATACTCAGTCAATCTGCCTCCCTTCAAACAGCCTTTGTCTATTTCCAACTTGTGAAGGGGAGGGTGTTGGAGGTGAGAGAAGGCGCATGGGCCCCGGACAGCAGTGAAGGCAGGTTCTATAAACTCACTAGTTTCCAATACCGCAGGAGAACCTGCTGCACATCGCTATGCCCACGGGTTTCCTACCATCCCTGACTGCACCATCAATTCCTCTGCAGGAAGTCATGGTATCACTCCAGCTCTCAACTAATATACTCACAATGCTTCAAGTCAAGTGGCCTCTAACCTCTTCCTGAGCTCAACTGGTGAGGTGTGGTGAGTCATGCCCTCAGAAGACACTCTGCTAAAGCTGTTGTCACTAAGTAACGTCTGTCTGCCTCTCCCAGGAGAATCTCAGACATGATTTCCATGAGGATGAGAGTTTTAATCAGTTTTGTATCTCTTAAAGCCAAGCACACAGTAGGCCCTCAACACCTGCAATGAAGTGAGTATGGGCACTAGTTTGTTAAGATGGTAGCCTGGCAGTGCCTGGACTGCAGCTGGGCAAGCAGTCTCCCAGCTGCTTTTGCTTCATTGACCTGACACCCATTTCACCTCCCAATTCCTCTTCCTGTCACTTACAGTTCAGTGTGCTGTTCCAAAGCCTGCCACTCCCGACTTCTCTAAAGTCACTACTTTGTGAAGTTCAAAGATTAAATGGTCTGGAGTACTACAGAAGAAAGGAAAGTGTTTGTCATTTTTCCCCTTCAGAAAAGCTTTTTCCACCCATCCATATCTCCCAAGATGAGAACCCTGGCAGTTGTCAACCTCTGTAGACAACACACACACTACGGTTCATACAGCTTGAACAATCATCAACACCACTCTCTAGGTATTTCTGAGACCCTGAAGGCTGGGGCTCTTTAGGATTCTGTCTTTGTGAATTTGAAAAGTGTGTGGTTCCTGGAGCAGGGACATCAGCAGCACTTAGACACTTGTTACATGTGACATTCTCAGACTGTCGGAGCCACATGCGCAGAAGCCCAGCAAGCATCTAGGAAAACTGGATGGGCACTGAGCCTGTGAATCAGTGCTTTGGTTTAGCAAGACAGGAACAGGTCCATACTGCACCCATTGTTAAAAGGGCACACACGTCATGGAATGGACACAGCTTCAGAAAGATAGTCTTTGTGTCTTGGCAGTGCTTTCTGGGTGATCCTCCTGAAAGAAACTGTGTTACCTTCATATTGATGTGATGAACTCTGACGATAAACAAAAGGTGTATCACAGCTCACAATTCAGACCAGAGTCTGCCCAGTCACTCTGGGCCCTGAGCAGTATATCAGGGCAGCAGGCATGTGGTAGAGGAGGTTGCTCACTTAGAGTAGCCAGAAAGAAAAATGAGACCCTGGCCCCTGCAAGGATGTATTCCCTATGACCCAATTTATCCAACTCTGCTCCACTTTCTCTCAAAGCTCCCACCACATGGCTATGTTGCTGGCACTGGGGACCAAGTCTTCAGCCTTAAGCATTTTAAGGGACATGTCAGATCCAAGTCTTTAACAAAAGGTTCTGCTCTGTGCTGTTCAGCATGGCAGCTACGAATCAAATGTGGTCCTGGACACCTGGATCATAGCTAGTAGGACTGAGGAAATTTAAATTTATCTGATTTAAAAATTAAACAGCCACCCATGGTTAGTAGCTACCATCCCAAACAGGACAGTTCTAGAAGATGACTAAGGTGCATTAAATTACATTGAACTTAGCTCCTAAAATGCCAGCAATAGATTTTTACAACACATTCTCTTAGATTCTGTCCTCTGAATGAGAAGATTGATTTGCTCATTCTGATCTTGGCTCTGTTGGACAAACACTGTGAACTTTTATATATAGAACTGTTGAGACCTTTTCTGTACAAACTCCTTAAGAGCTGGGTACATGATGCATCTTTTTCCTTTTTGAAAGTGTTTCGCTAAGGCTGGCCTCAAACTTGTGGTCCTTCTTCCCCAGTCCCCTGAGCAGTGGGGTTACACAATTCTAAGACAAAGAACAGAAGTCAGTGTTGAGAGCTGACAGAGGAACTTCTGGTGGTTTCAGAAATCTTCTGTTTCATACCAGGTTCTCTATCATTTTCCAGACAGCTGCATACTCTGTACAAGGTATGTCTGGCCCTCTGGCTACTCATCATCAATAAGTCTTATACAATTAAATTATGGGTTATAGAAAGACATGTCGAATTCAGGTCATCAGGCTTGGTGGCAAATGCCTTTACCTGAAGGCCCAGTTGCTGGGCTCTTAACTTTGGATGTTCCAGCTCCTATAATTGTATGAGATAAATTGCTTTCTCATATAAATGACCTAATCTGGCTCGGCGTTGGTGGCACATGCCTTTAATCCCAGCACTCGGGAGGCAGAGGCAGGCGGATCTCTATGAGTTCTAGGCCAGCCTGGCCTACACAGTGAGTTCCAGGACAGGCTCCAAAGCTACAGAGAAAACCATGTCTCGAAAAACAAAGAATGACTTAATTTGGTGTGGCAGCACAGATCAGACTACAGTAACAACCCATCTGTCCTCAGAACTCCTCTGCAAAGAGAGACCGATGTCAGTGGGAGATGAGAAGACTGGGAGAAAGGTCAAGCTCAGGTCTCAGGTCAGCAGCAAACAGGGGCTCTGGCTCTAAAGCCCTTTGCTTCTGTTGCCTCCCACGTGGATGAGGCTGGAGCTCAGTTTATCACAGAGCACAGGAATTCATACGCTTTAGAGTGCTGTATTTGTATATTCATTAAAACCCACTACTTACAGGATATTAAAACCATTCTAGGAGACGATCATGGCAAAGGTGTAATCGAATTTGTGCGTTTGCCAAAGCAGAGTGTATGAGCTTTTATGAAACGTTTCAGAAATGTGGCTTATGGGGCAATGGTTTATGGCCAACTGCCTTTTGATCTCTCATGTGAAAAATATGTACTTACATATATTGCAGGAAACCTCACCACTTCCTTCCTAAGTGTCGGTCAAAACACTAATTACTTGACTAATCAGACTGTGACACTCCCCTTACAGATGGTAAAATGAGCTATTTTCACCCCACAAATCCAGCTGTGACATACACCAAAAAATGGAGACCCACTGAATGGTTTTACTGTAGACAGCAGGAACAATTTAAGCAAATTACGTAAAAAGTAAATGAGGAGCTAATGAAGATAATCTGTCCTTTCACAACGGAATATGAGCCTATTCCAGGGGAAGGAAGGTGGCTTGTCAGCTAGGTAACATGGCTTTAACAGGAGGCCAGTTCTACATTCCTTCCTCACAGACTGGTCCTTCCCATACCAATCAGCCAGTCTTCACGTGATCTGATTTCATCACTGTTTTCAGGGCCTTTCCTCACTTTACCTGCAGTCACAGGCTGAGGCAGCACTGCCTACTGTTTTCTCTTGGGCCTTCCCTATGTCTACCATGTCAGTATGGCATGGGACCCCTACAGCTCAGGCCTGCCCCATCAACACATTTGCCCTAAGAATCACTGGAGTAAAACTGAACTGCAGCAAGACCCGTGGAGCCCTTGACTGGCGAGTGCTGAGTTCACCTCACAACCCTGTCTGTGGAGGAAAGCCACAGTGTTGCACCAGGAGACACTCACCAGCATCAAGGCTTCCAGTTGCTGCTGTCCAGCCCATGACAGGTGGGATGGCTCCAACCACGGCTCCCACCCATGTGTTGGCGATGCTGATCCTCTTCAGTGGTGTGTAACAACAGGTATACAGAAAAATGTTGAAGATGCCCAGGGCCCCTGTGAGTGGATTCACTCCCCAGGTCAGAAGGGCCACTCCTGGCACAGCACAACAGGTGGCAAAACACACAGCTAGCAACGGGCTGGAAGAGAGCAGAGGACATACTGAACACATTCCCCTTGGCTCAGGACCAGAGCCTGCACTAATGAGGAGCCAGCATCCTCACATCCACTGAAGGTGATGGGACCTTCTTCCCAGTTGTGGGGAGTCTTCCTGAGACTGTAAAGAAACTCAGGGAGGAGGTGGAGCCCCCTGCACTCCTCATCTGCAGGTCTCTGTCACTCATCTCTTATAGGGTTGAAGTAAGGGCTTATACAGGGCTACATTTTGGGGCTCTATTCTAACTATTGCTAAATAAGGGACAGATGCAAACAATACAAGTTATGGACAAAAACAGTATCCCTTCTGGAAGCCATTCTATTCATTTGCTTGCATTTTAGTGTCACCAAATCAATGACAACAAACAGCAATGTCTGCTCCAGGGAACCTGCATGACATGATTTTCAGTACTTGAGGCCATTCAGTTCTATGACAACAATCAACGCCAGGGGGCTGGTGCAAACTGCCACTGATGTAACTTGGTTTGTGGCTCTGACTGGCAATGAGAGGTCACCGAGGGTTATATATGTAAAAGAACACTCTACAGTGTGGAAGACTTTGAGCCTAGAAAAGTGTGACCTCCTGGTTCCTGCTTATATACAGGGGTTATTTTTTTCTTGGAATTAATGTAGGTTACTCAAGACTGTGCTTTCTCTGCAAAAGCTACAATTCAACCCCCAAGGAAACCATGTTTGCAATGTCAAAGACCCACTCAATTATAGGGTCCCCAAATGCTTCATGAGAAGTCCTGGGGGTTCTGGTTTAAAAAATGTCATTTCTTCAAGGGAGGCAATCCCTTGAGATAACACCCTTCTGTTGCCAAGGCTGTGGTGTGCTCCCACTGAGGAGAGGTGCTCTGAACTGTCAGTTGGGCTCTCTAAGAAGGACCAACTTGAAGAATGATGTTGAGTTTGAACTCAGCCTCCCCTAGCCCCAGAGGGATGGGAGAAGAGGAGCAGGATGGCCTAGCAGCTCAAGTGTCATGTGATACCAGAGCCACAGAGCTGGGGCACTAGGTAAGGAATTCTACTCTGACTCTCACTTAGCCGGCCCTCTTTCCACACAGAGGTTATGGTCTGCCCTGCCTGGAAGGGAGAAGAGAGCAGAGTAGGGTTCTGAGGAAAGTGTGGCCATCACGAGGTGGCAGAAGAACCATGGCTATCAATAAGACCCGAGTGCATCTGCACCCACCTGTCCCCTGGCCACCTGTTTGGAAACCACAGCCAATGACTTCTGAAACACTCGGGCACCCTCGGTCTTTCTCCCATCTGTCTGTCCATCACTCCCACCCCAGCAATACCTCTTTCTGTGACATAGCTATGGTTTCTGCTTCTGCTGGGAAAGGTCCTGAAAACATACAGGTCAGACCATTTCAAGAGGATGGTTTACTGTCGAAGCACCTGGCTAGACTGTGTCTTATGTGACCTTGAACTCCCTGCCCACCTTTATTTCCCAACAATGGGGACAGATGTCTTTCCTTCTCTGCACTTCTGCTTTTACTCATTTTCCTTCCTAATCTCTTTTATTTTTTAGTGTTTATTTTATGTGTGCACTGGTACTTGAAGAGGCCAGAAGGGTCAGACTCTCTGGAACTGGAGATAGCTGTGAACCATGTGGCTGCTGGGAACTAAACCAGGGTCCTCAGCAAGAGAACTGAGAGCTCCTAACTGCTGAGTCTCTCTCTATCCCTGCCCACATCATTTGTTAAATCTTACTGTCTCCCGACACCACACATCCTCGAATAGATGTTGCTCTTATCTTCTCAAGGAAATCCCACTATGCACACCATCTTCAGTGTGAAGATCTAGATGGAGTGGGACTCTGAATTGGACATACACCTCTACCTCCTCCATCCTGCAATTTCCCCATTTGCCTTTACTCCTCCATTCATTACTGAAACAGACTTCTTTCTCTAAGGCTGGGACAGGCACTTAGTGACCTGGGACGGTCTGGAATTCTCCCGATGGAAGATTAGGAAGCTGCCTAGGTGTTATCACACATGCCCAGAAAGGAGAAGGAAGGTGGTAACAACTAGGTAAGCATTCGAACTGTTGTTCTTTCAGTAAGGTAGTTTCCAGCTTACAAGAACAGGTCTTCCCATACATGAGACTCCAAAAGGTTAGTTTTATTTGGGGTGGGAAGAAATGTGGCTCATAAACATATTATTTTTCCTGAATTGCTCCCTGTGTTTGTTTGTTTGTTTGTCTTGTTTTTTTTTTTTTTTTTAGGTAGAAGAGGAGGGTTGTTCCCCTTGCCAAGGGCCAGCCAGGAAGCAGTTGGATTCCTGGCGTTAGCGCTATGAAAAGCCCTTTCAGAGACGCACAGATGAATTTAATTTATTGAGATAGGCAATTGGGGGTGGAAATTTAGTTTCTGACCTGTGTTAGAATCACAGAAAATCATGAGGCTTGATCTTGGCATTTAAATCAATGTGCTCAGAGGCATGAATGTAAACCAAGCAGGCTGACAGGCTGCACAAACAAGAATGAAGATATTTACCCAGCATGCCCTGGGAAGACTAGCACCAGGAGAGAGTGCCCCAAGTGGCACACTTCAGAGTCCTCGGGCTCATTATCCTGTTGTGTTTCAGTTTTGCTAAAATACTTATTGTAAATGTAATGCACATTCAATTCAGAAAATTTGTAAGTATAAAGATAAAAAAGATGAAATTCTAAATGACCCTGAGACAGATATGGTTTACGTCTCTCTAGACTTTCCTGTGCTACAGTTACTTTAAAAGTAAATACACAGTGAATTAAAGTTTTGCTACTTTCTTAAATTCGATAAATCTTCAGGTTTCCCATGTCACTACTTGGTTAATATCATCATAGACAGCTACAGAGAGGATTATTCTATGGATATATGACAATTACTTAATCAACATGCCCTTTCTGGACACAATATTTTTATCATTTTAAAAACTCAGATAATGCTGGGATGCATTTCTTTTTTTTTTCTTTTTTAGATTTTTATTTATTTATTATGTATACAACATTCTGCTTCCATATATATCTGCACACCAGAAGAGGGCACCAGATCTCATAACGGATGGTTGTGAGCCACCATGTGGTTTCTGGGAATTGAAAGCAGGGCCTCTGGAAGAGCAGTCAGTGCTCCTAACCTCTGAGCCATCTCTCCAGCCTGCTGGGATTCTATTCTTATGGAGACTTCTGCTCATGGCTCCACTTAGGAGAAACTCCTAGCTAGGAACCTGCTAAGCCAGATGGTATGTACTATTCTGTTGTTTTAGAGCCACCAGGCTCTGCTGTTGATATGCACATTGTAGAGGCGCATGATATGACACATGATGCCAGTCTGTACTGCAAAGTTGTCACTCCCACCAGGTAAGACTCCAGCCAGACAGTTGTCACTCCCACCAGGTAAGACTCCAGCCAGGCTTGCTACAGGTCACAAACTATGCCACCCAACCACCAACACATCACTGGCACTCACATGGCAAAGCCATACTTTCTGGGTGGCATAGAAGAGCACTCACCTCCATAATCTACATTAACACTGTGGATATGATCCTAAAATTGAAGCAAAACCAAACCAAAAATTGCCAACAGGATGGATGGAAAACAGCATGCCATGTCTCCAAAACAAGCATCACAAACCCTCCCACAACAACATAACCAACTCTTAGAGTTAATAAAGTATATTTGAGAGAGTATATATAGTATCTCTTCATTTTCTGTTGAGAATAAAACTCAATGAAAGTAAAAGAACTAAGCAGGTGGGCCTGGGCTTGTGTTTAAAGGCTGATTCATTAATTGAACCCAGAGTTTCCCAACTGGCATTTGGGAAATGCTGGTGGAATACCCCTGCAGATTCTCACATTTCCTGGGTCAGCTTAGGTCTGTGGGATCTTGTCAGTGGGGAGCAGTCTCCTGTCTGAGCTCCTTGGGTCTTCCTCATCGTTCACCTACTTCACTTCCTGACAAGGAAGCACAACGAACAGCTATCACTCAAGTACAGACACAGGCTGTAACACAGTGAGAGGAGAGAGTGCTCGCTTTCTGTTGCCTGTAGCAACAGATGAAACAGGGTGACATGGGGGTGCCTACCTTAGTGAGGCATGATGGGAGGACAGAGTGGAAATCTTATAATGTTTACTTCATTATTAACTAATGCTGGGATTAAAGTTGTGTACTACCACATCTGGCTGGAAGTGAAAGTTTATACTGAAAGCCCATGATAGATGAGGGGGAGAATGGCAGAAACGGCAGAGGAGGGTCTGTGAGGTGGCTAAGTGGGGAAAGTACTGTCTCAAAGCCCAATGACCTGAGTCTGACCCCAGGTCTCTTGGTGGAAGAAAAGGAACAACTCTTGAAAACTATCCTATGATTTATACACGTTCCCTCCCTCCCTTCCTCTCTCTCTCCCTCCCCCCTCAATGTAATTCTAAAAATTAAAAAAAAAAATGTATCCAATGTAACTCCAGCATGACAGGAAGCCAGTACTCTCTGAAACTTAGGAGGAAGAAGCAGACAAGGACAGTGGTTTCAGAAAGAGAGAATGCAGCTAGTGGCCGCTGGGCTATGCTTTAAGTTCAGTTTACCAGGAAAGTGACAACATCACAGCAATATTAAAGTTGTAGAAGTTTGGCACTTTCAGCTGTGTTAGGGCCCAGCAAGGTCCACAAGCAGCGAGCCCAGTGCTGTTCCACCAGTGGAAATCCACCCCCAAACTCACAGTTTCTATAGACACCTATTTTTCATCTGGAAAAAGTGCTCCTTTGTCATCTTGTTAAATAGAACAATGACTCTCTGCTTACATGATGAGAGTGAAGTATCACCGGTCACAGACCGAGGGCAGCTCTTCTTTGATTTCAGGCCAGCTGCCCCGTATGCCATCCCCTGATCACACCACTTAGCAACTGTTCAGCAAGTCCACCTGCACCTCCCTTCCTGGAGGTTCTACAAGTGTCTCCAACATGAAGATAAGAAGCTGACACAGGATGTGGAACCACCTTCTTCCTGT